AAAGTCAAATGAACACCAAAAGATAGAAAATTTCAATATTTTTCAAGTGAAAAATTATACCAATCAAACAGAATTAATTGACAATTCCCAGTAAATCAAATTCTAAGCAATTCAATTTCCTACAATTCGTTTTCTTTCCACCCAAATTCCATCTTTAAATAAAATGGACCCTAAGTAAAACCGTGATTCTTTTGTAAATTCTCATCCATGAACACAGTGGCGAATCCAGGATACTGGGTCAGATAGGGCGGTCGTCGATAACCATAATAATAACATTTTTTATTAATATTTAGCCTGTTTGTTTCCACTTATAATCAAAATTCCTACTGTTGCTACAGTAATGTAGCCGCAAATGTTGACATCTTTCTCTCACAATGGGCCCCAATGTTTTGAGAAAAAAAAGGGGTAAAATTTTGTTTTTTTATGTAAAAACAATTGAAAACAAACATTGACTTAATTAAATAATGTTAAAAAAATTTCAATCAATATATAAATGCAATAAAACATAAAAAACTCATATACATTTGAAAATATAATACAATACAACCTAAAATAATATTTAAAAAATTACATTTTTCAATCGTATATGTACGATCAAGTTTCAAGTTTTTTACGAACTCAAACGAAATCATTTATACATAAAACATAATTAACTGGTAAAGACAAGTTACGAGTTTAGGCGAAAGTTATGTAAAATTTTGAAAACAGTGATTTTTAGAATTAAAACTATTTTTTACCCCAAAAGAAAAAGTATTTTTTGAACTTTTTAAAAAAATAAAAAAAACACGTAGATTATCCATATTTGAATTTTATAAGATAAATTAATAAACTTAACAATTAAACTATATATATTATGGAGTAATAATTTGAGTCAATAAATTTTTTAAGGAAATTATTTCGAAAACGAAAACTAATAATATATAATTATTTATTTATTATTTATTGTATTGAAAAATTAAATAAAAAAGTTAAAAAAAAAAACAGAGAATTGAACCCCCTACCTCTAATGCACAAGATGGCACTTCCATCATTTTTGAACATTGGTATAATTATTAATTAATATCTAATCATTATTTACGTGCTTAAAATTGAAAGGGAAAATGTTGTTAAAGATAATCGAACCCGAGAATCGAATGTGAAAGGCAGACGCTCATCCAATTGAGTTACACACCATGAAAACTCTACAATAACATATACTAGTGAGACACACGTGCAATGCACATGCTACCAGTGTAGTTGGCTACTTAATAACGTGGTTGTGAAAGATTAATGAAACCAACATCAATGAAGCATCGGAAGATAGATTTCATCTACATATGAAACAACATTACACTTAAAACTTTATTTTCTTCATAAAAAAGGTGTCATGTTTATGATGTGAACATTGCGTGCAAACAGAGAAAATCATGAAACACGTGTCATAGTATAGTTGGCTATATGATAGGTAAATATAAAAAAAAAAAAATTATTTGTCTTAAGCATTAGTTACATTAAACTTAAAGCACTTGAAATGATAATAGGTGACAAAAATAATATTAAGAGATTTGATTCAAAACTTATTTTCTAGACTTTACTTTTAATTAATGATAATACAGTGCAGACTTTAGGACAAATCAAGTGTTTCTATCAGTATTAAAACCAAACACAACGAAAACTTCCATCATAGAGGCAAAAAGAATGACAAATGATCACCTAACTTCATAAATTTCGTCGAATATCTTTTCAGCATGTGTAAAGTCTTGGTTGTGTAGGGAAGTGGAATACAGAGCATGGGTGATTGTGTGGGAAAATGAAATTTTGTGTGAGAGAAGAAAGAGAAATCGAAATGATGGTTGCGTGTGAAAATAAACATAAACAATCACGACTTTATGTTTCAAAATTCGTGTAAAATTATTTTTGATATTTAAAATTTATTGATCATATATTTATCTTAGTCGCATTTCAATATTTCAAAGGAAAATTGAAAAGCATGATTTTATGTTTAATAATTCATGCAAGATAATTTTTGTTATTTAAAATTTATCAATCATATATTTATCATCGTCGCCCTTTAAACTCTTGAATAAATTTTAAATAGCTGAAAATGAACATCTCTAGTGTAAAATATCGAACCAAACGTAAAAGCTAAAGAAAAATGAAATTAAGATAAATTGGTGTGAGTATGGGGGTTGAGGGTGGGGTAGAAAATAAAAATTAACGATTATAATTTTACGTTTAATAACTTAAGATAATTTTATATTTAAACTTAATCGACAATATATTTATTATTATTATCACATTTTAAGTTTTTTTTAAAAAATTTGAAATCGATCCAAATAAATATTAATATCGTGAGATATTGTATCAAACGAAAAATTGTACAAAAATAAAGCTCGAAAAAAGGATATTGGAATTACGTTGAGATTGAAAAGAAACATAAACAGTCACGACTTTACGTTTCACAATTAATGTAAAATTATTTTGATATTTTAAATTTATCGATTGTATATTTATCATGGACACACTTCAACATTTCCAACAAATTTTAAATCACTTAAAATGAATATTTGTAACATGAAATATTGAATCAAACGATAAAAAAAAAGGGTATAGCCGAGTCGAGCCATAAAGTTCGAAACAAGGATATTGGAATTAGATTGGGATTAAAAAAAAGTATAATCAATCACAACTTTACATTTCACAATTAATGTAAAATTATTTTGAGATTTAAAATGCATCGATCATATATTTATCATGACCACACTTCAACATTTCCAACAAATTTTAAATCGCTTAAAACGAATATTTGTAACTTAAAATATTGAATCAAACGTATAAGAAAAGGGCTTAGACGAGCCAAGCTCGGCTCGTCTGAGCCGAGCCATAGAACCATTTTCCTCTTAAAAAAATACTGAAAAAACCTGCCGAGTCGAGCCATAAAGTCATTTAGATCGGCTCGACTTATGAACAGTAGCACCAAACTCCTTCTTATATATATACCTTTGCATGAACATAAGAGTATTGAACTTCAACTTGAAAGGAGTCTTCCAATATAGAAGAGCATTCCATTAAATAGATGCATGCCCTTGACAAAAAAACACATTTTCTATTAGTATTACAGGTCCTACCAGCGAACCTCGAGTGTCAGATGCAGACTCTAATGTTTCTTACATTCTTGTTCTACTCGACTTAGGTGTAGTGCATATTCTTTGATGCTTTAGGTATTATAGCTAGAAATGAGGGCAATGCAAACACTTGAACTAATCCACCATGATAAGTGTAACGATCTAATCGTATCCACATCACTCGTGAAAGATTTGTCTTATGGGGTTATAAGCACTTTGGACACCCTCTCTTACAAACCGATTTTAAGGGTGTGTTTTACCCAATATGACAACTACTCCATGCAAGGGATACCATTATCGAGCAAAAGAGCTGACGAAAACCATCGAGTGTTGGTTCATCAAGTTTTGGTCGCATATGAACGCTAACATTTCAAAAGCCAAGATGAGTTTACTTTACGAGAGATACTACATGTACACTCTGGTGTACAGCATTGTTGACACTCCTCTCACAGCATGGGTGGGTCCTGCCATAAATAAAATAATCGCGAGACCCACTATGTGAAAGGAGTGTAAAAGTGAGTGTACACCAAGAGTGTACTTTTATCATTTCTCTTACTTTATGGGGTGGTTTCTTACAACAAATTTAGGCAATCAAGAGCAGAGTATAGATCATTTATTGTGTAGTGTAATAAATTATTGGTGGTATTGATTAATTAGCTTTAAAGACAGGCAAAAACAGCTAAGAAAATAATTAGTACATCCACTTATCCAAGTAAATAATTAATTTCAATTATAAACTGGCATCATCTTCTTGTCCCCTAGTCTCCCCACCCCATCAACCAATACTACGCTATGCCAGCCTTCCACGTGTCAACATCCACAAATCACGCGTTCATACTCATGAGACTCACTACTCTGAGCCGGCCCGGTTCAAATTTTAGATCCGTTGTACATGGATGCCCATTAATATTTTATTTTATTTTAACTTGGAAAAAAAAAAAATAGAATTAAGTCAACGAAGCACGTACATTAATCAGCAAACGCGTTTTCGAAAGCACCACACTCCCACTTTTAATTAACAATTCCATAATTCAGAGTAGGACAAAAATATTTTTACCTTTTTTTTAACTTTAGAAAATTTAATTGCTCCCCACTCCGCCCCCGCTAATTCATGTTACGCGCAATCTCAATGACGTCACAAAATATTAATTTGTCGTAGGAAACGAAGATAAAGTATGATCTTTCAGTGAAACATCAATTAGGTCACAAAATTAATTTGTCATAATTGAGTCGTTGAACTTTAAGTTAATTTTAAATTCTATCACTCCGTGATAATTTATCTATCCAAACTGATAGAAATTAATTAATCAACAACTATACACTATAACTGATTCAACAATGATATATGTACAATGAAGGATAACAATGTTTGATTACCAATACTCACAATGGGAGTAGCCCACTTTTTTTAAAAAAAATTTTTAATTACGCGAGACAAACATACATGTGAGAAGTTGTCAACCTTCATTGTCAACCATTCATTGTACAAATGAAATTACCCTGATTGATTACGTCGTGTGACACTCGAAGATGATATGTAAAGTAGTAAGTCACGTCACACAACGATTTAATGAAAGTTTCGTTGTAGTGTGACTATCAATTAAGTAACTTTAATCCAATTTGAAGATAATAGTAGACCGGCAACACTGTAGAATTTGAAATCTAGAGATCATACGGACCAATGAAATTTACCCACGTTTCTATTACTTTAATTCTTCCCATTTTCCATAACATTTATTTTTATTTCATAATTGTAAAAAATAAAAATCTCCTCCATTTCCTTCCTTCCTTCCCTTTATTTAGCTCCACCTCCACTCACAAATCTCACTCCAATATTTTCTCACACACCTCAGATACAATCTTGCTCTCACTCCAATTCATCATCAAATTTATACAATGCCAACCATTTTATTGAGGATTTTGCTTGCATACAATCTTCTTAACAGAATTCTTCTTTGCCTAGTACCCAAAAAACTGAGAATTTACCTCCCTTCTTCTTGGTATCCCAATCCCAATAATCTTCTTGAAGAACCCATTACACCTTCTCCTCGAAATCTCCGTCGAATGGATGCCGGTGAACTCAAAAGGGTTTTCGAAATGTTCGATCAAAACGGCGATGGACGGATCACCAAAAAGGAACTCAACGATTCCTTAGAGAAAATGGGTATCTTCATACCTGACAAGGAATTGGCTCAAATGATCGAGAAAATCGATGTTAATGCAGATGGGTGTGTGGATATTGATGAATTTGATGAATTGTATCAAAGGATAATGAACGAGAAGAATGAGGATGAAGATATGCTAGATGCATTCAATGTGTTTGATCAAAATGGTGATGGGTTTATCACCGTTGATGAACTGAAATCGGTCTTGGCATCACTTGGGCTTAAGCAAGGGAGAACTGCAGAGGATTGTAAGAATATGATCTTGAAGGTTGACGTGGATGGTGATGGTGCGGTGAATTTTGCAGAGTTTAAGCAGATGATGAAAGGGGGTGGATTTGCTGCATCAATTTGATGTGTGTGTGTGTGGGTGTGCTTTTTTTTTTTAAACGCTGTGTAAATATATTCATTCATAGGGTTCTTCACCAAATTCCAGCATTTTTAATCAACGATTTCGACTTGTTTGGTACGATGAATTGTACTTTTGGACTTGAGAACGGCTCAACGCTCGTGTCTCCAATCCCCCACTAACGGTCTTTTGCCCTTGGTCTTGTAACGTATGCCAAACACATTCCATAAGATTGAGGGGAATATCCCATCAAGTTTTTTTGTTGATTATTTAAACAAATTGAAGCATTTGATTTGGAACAATTTTACCATTTTCAACTTTCCTTTTGTGTTCATAGGTATGGTCTTAAAAATAGTTCTGTATCATTCTCGAAAGTCATGTTTGATACGTTGTATTAAAGGCAATTGAATAGAATAGTTGATAAAATTGTGTTATATATGCCCCTTCCTTATGCAGATGTAGTTCTGGATTTATCTTTTTCACGAAAGACGTAGTTTTTGGTCATAAACTATATTTAAAGCAAGATTTTTGTCGTTTTTTGAATATTGGGTTGTGTACCGTCATAAATTTCTAATAATCCACTTCTTATTACCGGAGACCCACTTTTATTCATTACAATTAAAGATTTATGGCTCGTTTGTGACGGTTTTGCTTTCTGAAGAAGTGCTTTCGCAGAAAACTACCTTAATTTTTGTCTAGAAATTAATTTTTAAATGAATTTTCTATTCCGAAAGTACTTTTAAAGAAATCCACATTGAATCAATTTCCTCTAAAAGTTCTTCTAACTAGCAAAAACGTTTTGATAAAATTAGTTAAACGAGTTCAAAAATAATTTTTAGGTCTAAAAGCTCATTTCGACATTTCAAAAGCCATAAAAAAGGGACCCATAGACAAGATTTGATTTGTTCAACATATTACATCTTCCTAATTCATAAAGTGTCGTTTGTCATGTTATCACTGCCTTCATACTAGAATTGTCAATAATTTAGTGTGATGAAACGAAATTAAGTTTATTTAATGATTAATAGGCATCAACTTGCACAATATGTCGAACGAAAATCAAACTTGGTTGGGGAAATAGAAGACAACCTACCAAACACGTTCACATGCCATGTCTAGTACAACGTCAACTTTTTAAACGGTCTCAAAATGCAAATAATGTTAAAGGTTGTTGCCGTTGAACAAGTATACCATGATGCCACATGAAAAATGTCTATTTCTTCACTCATTATGAAATGTAGCCGTTGTAGCCGTAGATTCTTTTTCTTCACTCATTATGAAATGTCTATTTGTTGTTTTAGTTAAAGTTGGGTAAAAATCAATTCAAACTAGTCAAATCGATCAACCCAACCCAACCAAAACAGATCGGTTTGGGTTAGCTTTTAAGTTCAATTGTGTTGAAAAATCAAATTTGAGGTCTGGTCGGGTCGAGCTGGTTTGGGTCCTGAGTTATAAATTAAAATTCAATTCAACTCAATCCAATTCAACCCAACTCGATGAACTAAAAAAAATTAATATCAAAATAAAAAAAACCTAAATAGACACAATAGTAGAGAAAAGAGAATGATTTAGAATGTACAAACATCCCCCTTTTTCACATGGCTGATTGGTATGAATACAAAATTATTTAACGATAAATTAAAAATTAAGGACATGATAATGAAATGAATACATCCCAAAAAAAATTATGAAAAGAAAATACTCTATAGTTTGATAAATTAAAAATTAAGGTCATGATAATGAAATGAATAAATCCCAAAAAAATTATGAAAAGAAAATACTCTATAGTTTCAAACTTATTTATAAATTAATTTTCAGAAAGAATTCCTTATATATGCTAAAAATAATGGAGATTTTCAAGTGGTTTCAAATTTTAAAAATTGTTCAAATTCAAATTCAAATAAATAAATAAAATCGGACCCAACTTGAATTGGGCCCAAGCCCAAACCAACCCATCCCAAACCACCCCCAAGTTTAAGAGAAAATTAGGCCTACTATTGTAAAAAAATGAACAAATTAGATTACTACACTTAAAACAAATTAAAACATTTAATAGCCGTAATTAATACGCTCTAAACTTATTCCACTAGCCCCCAAAACAACTGATTACAAAGAAAAACCCCAAACCACAACCCAAAACCCATGATTCACCCAACGAAGAAGAAGCATCTTCACCCACACAAAGAAGAAGGCGATTCATCCATCCATTAAAGGTTCCACCCATGCGACACCACTTATTATAGACTTGAATCATGATTGAAGAAAGTGAATCTATGGGGATGAAAAGAAAATCAAGTTTTGTTGAAGGAAATAAAAATAAAAATAAAAAAAAAATTCTCCACAAGTTTAAAAACCTAAGGTTTGTTTTTAAACTTGTTTATGGCTTATTCGATTTTTATTTTGAAATGCTTATTTTCTTGTGTAATGTATCTTGTATTTTGTGTAAAATAGAATTGTGCTTTGTGTCTTTAGGATTTTGTGATCTCCCCTAAATCCCAATACTAAAATGGCAATTTTCTTCGAAAGTTTCATCTGCAAAACTGTGATTAAATAACAATACCGAGTATTTCTCATTCCTTGGGTTAAAAGAAAGAGCAGCTTAAACTATTCAAATGGTGGAGATTGCAATGTTTCAATTCCGTTCAATTACATTCCCAAGAAATCTTCAAAATACGAAAATTCCAATGCTACTTCTTTGCCGACGAAGCATTTGAAGCACAAAGAAAAGCTTGATAAAGGTTCAGAGCTGAATGTGCATAGAGTTGAGTTTTCCAATATTTGAACCAGAGCTTTGTTTTGAATTCTAAAACTCTGGATCATGACCGGAGGGCTGTTGGAAACATAAATTATGGTGTTGAACTTAGGATGAAGAAGAAATTGAGGGCAATTTTGGAGATTTGGACTTTGAATTTATGGAAGAACCTTTGGAGGTCGTTGAGGAACTCGAAGTTAGTCACGGGAAGGATCCTGGCAAAAAAATTATGAGGATTCAAGCT